GACCGCAGGCTGTAGGCATGGCGAGGAAGCTGGCAGGAGCCACCTGTGGCCGGCCAGGCTCATCCGGCGTGTGGTCTCTTGCAGCTAGTCCACCAGGGACAGGGCCCATCACGTGTGCAGAACCTCAGCGTCTGTCCCACAAGGACATCATCTGGGTGTGAGGAGGATGAGGCCAGAAGCTGACAAGGAGACAGGACGGGCTCCTGGCGCCTTGGCGCGGTGCCCCCGGACTTCCCCTTTGTGGACCTTCCTTTTCTTGCACAGTGAGAGACAGTCTACTTCCTCAAAGCTCCCAAATGTAACCAAACTGGGGAGAACTCCCTGCACCATAGAGACCCTGGAGGGAAGGGTGGGAGACGGGGCACAGCAGATGCGGAGGTTCAGCAAGGCCAGTATCAACAACCTCAGTAAAAGGGAGGCCGAGACCTTGAGATCGGCCAGGGTACAACCAGACAAAAGCTTCCCAAATGCTGCGGACAAGAAAGGGGCCACGTGCTCAGCGGAGGCCAACGCGGCCTTACAAACTCACGGGAGTTATCACGTAGATGGTTTGATCATCAAAATTCCTAACTGAGAGCAGGTCACGTCCGAGGCCCGCAGCTTGCGTGACAAAGTCAGTCTTTACCTAAGTGAGCCTGCCTACTATCTTTTTGCATCAATAAGATAACATGCCTTTGAAATGTCAGAGTAATCTTCTTTCAGAGCCCTCACAACCCAGAGTGAACTGTCATTGTTATCTTAACCCCCGCATACCATCTCCATGCGGTAAATGTTCACTGTCCTGTACCCACAATGTAAAAGAAGTACCTGTCAGTGGCTGAGCATCGACCTAGGAACCAAGAGGTCACGGTTCGATTCCTGATCAGGGCACATGCCGGGTTGTGGACTTGATCCCCAGTAGGGGAAGTGCAGGAGGCAGCCGATCAATGATTCTCTCTCATCATTGATGTTTCTACCTCTCTCTCCCTCTCTCTCTCTCTCTGAAATCAATAAAAATATCTAAAAAAAGAAGTATGTGTCTGTTTTCCTTTATCCAATGTCAGAGATCCCCACCCCACGTTGCTCTCTCCTGCCTCCCTAATCTACCAACGGGTTTCATGTAACCCCTTTACATCTCCTCCTTCGACTCTAATGTATAAAAGAATCTGCAAAACTGCCATTTTCAGAAGCATTTTTCAACCAAATTCATTAAAAATTGCCCTAACCGGTTTGGCTCAGTGGATAGAGCGTTGGCCTGGGAACTGAAGGGTCCCAGGTTCGATTCCAGTCAAGGGCATGTACCTTGGTTGCAGGCACATCCCCAGTAGGGGGTGTGCAGGAGGCAGCTGATCAATGTTTCTCTCTCATCCATGTTTCTGGCTCTCTATCCCTCTCCCTTCCTCTCTGTAAAAAAATCAATTAAAATGTATATTTTTAAAAATTATCTACAGGTTTGGGCATTTCTTACATCGACAATGGTTTACATGAGTTAACAATAGAACAAAAAAGCTCTGGATCCCTGGCTCTGGTTGGAAGGCTGAGCGGGTAGCTTCTTGGAGGCAATGGCCACGTGAGTGCAGTTACCTGCGTCTGTCTGCCAGGGGCTGGAGCAGCCTCCCACGAAGCCCAGGGGCCTGTCTCTCACAGAACTGGTGCCCTTGGATCAGAGGGGGAACCTGGAGGCCAACTCTTGGAGTCCACTCCTGCATGAAGACATCCTCTCCCCCTCTCAGACCCCAAACCACACTCTGACCTCTGTCTGTCCTCCTCTGGCAGAGCCCCTCTGAAACCGAGCAAGCACGGGGCCTACACCAGCCACGCAAGGGCAGGGAAACATCCCTCTTCTGGCTGGTGGAAGGATTTGAAAGACATACAGAGGTAAAAGGAGAAAACCAAATCTTTTTAAAATTGGTTTTAGAGAGAGAAAGGGGTAGGGAGAGAGAGAGAAACATCGATTAACTACCTCCTACATGCACCCGACCAGGGATCAAGCCAGCAGCCTGGGCATGTGTCTTGATGGGGAACTGAACCAGCAACCTTTCACCAACTGAGCCACACCAGCCTGGGCGAAAATCAAACCTTAATATTTGTGCAAGGGAATTCACATAAACATAAAAATTACACATACTACAAATGACATATATTCCTTAGTAAGGCAAGCTGAGGTGCATATGTCCTTTTGGACTAAGGAGGGGGAGATAGGCAATTCATAGGTGGTTGAGAAAGATCAAACGTCCGGTAAATACATTCTTGCCTGCCCCCCACAACAGTGGGTGCAGAGGGGAACCTCGGAATCGGATGTTCTTGGACCCCGCCTAGCTGCCACACTTCATTCCTAAGTGAGAAGGTTCCCTGTTCTGAAGCAGGTTTTTCTCTCTGAGTCTCTAGCAGGAAAGGGGGAGCTAACAAACTCTTCCTGAGTTTATTGGGCTTTAATTGTTTTCTGTTCAAAATAGTCTGACCCACACACCACAAGGGGCTGGGCAACCGTTTCTGTTGCTCAGGGGATGACGCCCAGCCAGCTGAGCCACAGCAGCTAGGGCTGGGCAACCATTTCTTTATCCAAAAGCACTTGAAAATGCTGCAAGTATTCTAATCGCCCGTCAGGAAGCAGGGCTCCTCTACTCCCCAAGCTCTGTGTGAGCTGCCAGGACACAGCAGCACTCCACCCTCCCACCGAGGGCTGTTAGCAGCAGGCCGTCTCCTTGGTGGCACTGGGCGGTTAGCGTTCCCAGGCAGGAACCTCACTGGCTCAGAATTACCCACCATGTTCTCTGATTGGCCCTCTCACAAGCAGGTGACCCTTGTGAAGCCCAGCGTCTCACAGGCTACAGGCCCCTGCAGCTCTAAGACACCAGGACTTTAGAGGACAGGGGGCCACATGCAGAGACGGGTCAGAGGTCAGAGGGCGTGCAGAGCGAGCCGGTCTCAGGCCCTCCAGACTGAGGGGTGGGGGAGGGGGAGTTCAGAGAGGAAGAGGAATTGAAGTTGCTTCATTCATTCACTCATCTGGCGCCAAGCATACCACACGATGCTGGGAGACACAGGCCATGCCCAGCTAAGGACAAGTAAAGGGACAACTGCAAAGTCACCAGATCAGGGAGGACAGAAAAGCCATGCCCTGGGCAGCAAGAGCGCCTCTCCCAGTCGGGGGGCTGGCTGGGAGCCTCACCGGGAGAGGAGGCTGTGCCAAGGCCCCAGGCAGAGAGAGGAGGTGGGAAAGCGGGCATGGAGCCTGGCGGAGTGTCTATCTGAAGGCTGGGGAGGGCTGTGACCACGCAGTCTCTCCAGGGCAGGAAATCACCCAGACAGGAGCGAGCAGGTCTGAGGGAGGGGGCCCAAGGGCTGGGAAAGGGCCCGTCCCCTTTCAACCTCACTCTGGCCTTGGTTTCCCCGCACACCTCAAGGAGAAAGAAGGCCAGGCCTTTGAGCTCTGGGATAAAAGCGCAGCTGGCCCAGACCACCACTCCTGTAAAACAGGGCGGGTGACGCCTCCACTCTTTTCGGCTGGTGAGTAGCCTGTTCATCTTTGAAGATGAAACGTGCTGGGGCCTAATGAGGAGTCAGTCAGCCGGCCTGGGAGTGGGGCTGGGCTGCTGGAGCTGTCAGCAGCCCCACTGCCCCCACCATGGCCTCCAGGTCAGAGCAGAGCCCGCCCAGGGGTCGGGACACTTCACATTTCTGTCTCCGCTGTGGCCAGCCTGGCCTGTTTTCTCCCCTCCCCTGCCCTGGGCCACCTCCCTCTCAGGCAGGACCAAGGTCAGGGGGCTCATGCCTCCCTCTGCAAAGGCATCAAGAGCCCCCTGTGTCCTCTGCTGCCCTGGCCAGCACACGCTGCACTTCTGCCCTGGTGTCAGGCCATTCCATGTTTCTAGGCCAAACTGATCATGTCGTATATGGCCACTGGCCAGGGGGACGCTCCACAACTCCTGCATATGTGAGAGAACCGTCCTCAAAATAAAGGGTACCCCGCCCACTGGGTGAGGCCACGGGAGTGGCCCCAAGGCGCCTGGAGGTCCACTCTCCACGTGGTGGACAGACAGCCCCTCCCTTATCTCTCCCCTCCCCTCCCCTCCTCCGCCCAGTTTCCTCCATCTCCAGCCCAGGCCTGAGGCCTCTCACCACTGCCCTGCTCAGACAGACCGCCCCGGGCTGACCCCCAACACTCCACTCGCCTCCGAGCCAGCGCCCCGGTGTCAGGAAGTAGCTGGACCGGAGAAGGGACACGTGGGCGCTCCCGTGCTCCGGGAGGCCGCGCCTGGCAGGGCACCAGTGTCAGGTGGAGCTTGGTCGGTTTGTGTTCATTAAGTAATTAATTCGTTTATCTGATTCGCAGGATGATGCCCAAAGGTTAGACTTCTGACTGCCAGCCCCCAGGAGCCTTTGGGATCACCCTTCCTAAACTAGGAGGGCGCCTGTCTGCACTCCTCACCCGGAGCCTGGGGCGCGCTCGCTGAGATCACGGCTCCAGGACCCAGGTCTGGGGTGCAGTCTGAAGCCCCACACCACCTGCTGGCGCTCGCCCCGGGGCCACGGCCTCACTTCTCCGAACCCACACCTGCCGCTCCCGCCAGAGGGTGGCTTCAGGGAACCGGGGCAGTGTCTGGAGGGGCAACGGGATGACTCGGGCTCAACGACAACCATGCCAAGTGCGCACAGGCAGGTTGACCGGGCGCTGCCCTCGGAGAACAGGGGGCCGGATTGTCTGGACACCCCCTGGCTTCTCCTTCGTGTCCCTCTCCACTCCTCCCTCAGCAGCAGGCTGCCTGCGTCCTCTCTGACCGGCGCTGTGGGACTAATGGGCCCATGGCCTCCACCAGGCCGAGCGCCCAGCAGCAGAACCTGAGCGGCCTGCGCCTGTGCCCGCAGCGCCCAGCGAGGGTCCTGGCAGGGCACAACCACAGGCAGGGCCCAGACTGCGTCTCCACTCACCAGGGAGGCAGCTGCAGGTCTTTCCCCTCAGGGCCCCCAGGTGAAGGGGAGGGCCTGCCTCACCCGCCCCGCGGGCTGCCCGTGCTCACCTTGTAGTCTCGCTTAGCACTGGCTGTGGGCTGCTGCTCCTGGCGGGGTAGCGAGGCCTCGGAGTCCAGGTGCTGCCCGAGGGCTGCCGGCCTCATGAGGCGCAGGAGCCGGCTGAGCACTACCAGCTGCGGGGGAGAGAGGCCGTCACCTCGCTGGCATTGGTGGCTGAGAGTGTGGGTTCTGGAGCCAGACCGCCAGCTTCCAGAACCTGGGTCCACCTCTCACTCTCGCTCTGTACAGTGGAGGTGCACACACACCTTCCCGAGAAGGAGGGCACACGGTCACCCAGGCCTGGCACAGGGTGAGCCCCTCGGAGGAGTGACCAGGAAAGAAGAGCTCTGGGGGCTGGAGGCCGCCCACTCGCCTGCAGTCAGCAGACACCCATGGTTTAGAGCAGTGGTTCTCAACCTTCTGGCCCCTTAAATACAGTTCCTCATGTTGTGAACCAACCATAAAATTATTTTCTTTGCTATTTCATAACTGTAATGTTGCTACTGTTATGAATCGTAATGTAAATATCTGATACGCAGGATAGTATTAGGTGACCCCTGTGAAAGGGTCGTTCGACCGCCAAAGGGGTCGCGACCCACAGGTTGAGAACCACTGGTTTAGAAGCATGGCCAGCAGAGAGGGTCTCCTCTGCCTCCAGGGAGGCCCCTGGCTAAGCTACTCTGGCCCACTCGCCCGCGTCCCTCTCTTTCCATTTAACGTGTCCCTGTGGGGCCTGAGCAAGGGCTCGGGGAAGGGGAGAAGCTGCATGCCGCCCCCCTCCCTCGCTGGGAACAATGGTCCATGCCATCACCATGCTGCCTACTGTTCCATCCTCTCCCCCCATTTTCCTCCCAGAGAATTTTAAAGCAAATCTAAACACTGAATTATTTTACCCACAAAGAGCTTCTAACAGAAAAGGATAAGGATCCCTCCCAATATAATCATAATACCATTTTCTTGCCCAATAAAATCACCAAGAATGAATTCCTTTTATGATCTAACACCTGTGCTGTTTTCTCCGCGTCTCAGCTATGTTCTCCTGTAGTTGTTCTGTTGGAATGGGGATTCCCCACAAGGTCCACAACTTGCATTGGGTTGAAATGTCACTTAATCTGCTAGCTCCCCCCCCCGCCCCCCACTGACCACCCTCTCTGAACAAATGGGCCAGTGTTCCCCACCCTCTGGACCGTGGTCCACATGAGTCCAGGTGTCTGTGGCAAGCGATCCTTCCTGCCAGCCCCTGCACCTGGTGCGGGCAGCCTCAGCTGGGCCCCAGCCAGGACCGCCCAGCTGCCCTGGAGCGAACGGTGGCAGGGCAGGCGGGCAGGCAGGCTCCAGCCGTCCCTCTGAGGCCACGTGCCGCCTGGAGAGGTGGTGGTGCAGAACCAGGGAGCAGCATGGGGGTGGGGGAGGTTCACGGAGGCACCATCTCTTCAGATGTAGCAGGTGCAGGGCAGCCGAAGGGGGAAGGGCTTGAGCCCTGAGCCCGACCCCTGCTTGAGCCCAGCCTGCCCAGCACACCTGGCTTCCTCCCTCTGACACCCTCAGCCACCTGCTCAGCCCCCCAGCAGCTGTGGGCTTAGCCCAAAAGAGCAGCTGGGATGAGGGTGAGGAGTCAGGCCTGAGGAAGCCAGAGCTCTGGGCTTAGTGTCTGATCCATCAGGAGGGCAGAGAGGAGGCAGGGAGAGAGGGAGGGAGGGAAGGTGCTGGGTGAAGAGAGACACCACACCCAGTGTGCCTCTTGCTCAGTCCCGGCAAGTCTGGGGAGAGGTCCCAAAACAGCGCTGCCTTCTCAGGGCTCACAGCTATGCGAGCACAGGGGCACACAGGGGCGCTCTGCAGCCCTCCCGCCAGTGGACCCTCCCAGCCAGTGAGCCTCGGGCAGGGCAGAGGAACACATGCAGACCTCCCCAGTTTCCCCTCACTCCACCCCGCCACCCCACTCAGCACAGCGAGCCTCCACCTTCTGGTTGCTTATTCCCTTGTGGTTCCAGCTCAGCCAGCCCATCTCTCTCCAGGATAAGGACTCGTTTGGCCTGCATGGGTCCCAGCTGGGCCAGCGCATCTCCCCCCCGGGCCCCCGTCTGGGAGCCGGCTCCGTAAACACTCAGCCCTGGAGGGTAGACACTTCTAGGCCAGAGGCAAATGATCCCAGGAAGGCAGCGCTCCACTGGCCTCAACAGGCTGCGGGCAGAGGAGGCAGGCCAGTTCCAGTGCGAGCACTGCCACAAAGCCTGTCGCTCCTGGCTCAGCCAGACCGCTGCTCCTCTTGCCCAGAGGAGAAGGCCAGGGTCTCACCTGTGTGCGATGCCCTGGTGGCCCCTGCTGCTTCCGGGAGCCTGTGCTGAGTGGTCCTTCTGACCAGACACTGCACAACCGCACTCCCCTCCTTCCAGCCCAGTTCCCTGCAACCTGCATCCGCCCGCCCTCACCACTCCATTCGCGGATCCTGACTCTGCCCTACCTTATTTCCATGGAATTTATTACCTTCCAACATGCTGTGCAATTTACTTTTTATTATTATCTGTTCCCCCTCCCTTACTAGAATGTAAGCCCCATGAGGGCACCTTCATTCACTCTGTCCCAGAGTCTAGCACAGTGCCTGGCACGTGATACGTGTTGAACCCGTATCATTAAGTGAACTAACAAGTGAATAGCCGGGCAGTGCCTCAACTAGTTCCCCTTGTAAATGCAAACCTCATCCCCCTTGATGTCAGCAATTTGAAGCCCACGTTTTTTCAAACTCCAAACTGGAAGACATGACTTGACCAAAGATGCTTGCTGTGTGGCCAGAGGTGGCTGCGACAAGACACTACCTCCGACTTCCCTCCACAGCCTGTTCCACCCGGGCTTGCCTGCCTCCGTCAAGTGCCTCTCCACCTGCCGGATGTACAGCCTTGGAGCCCTGATGCCTCCTTCTCTCACATCCCAGGCCCCACTGGCTGTCCTTGGGGAATATACCTAGAATCTGACCACTTCTCACAACCTATGGCACCACCACCCCAGGCCGAACTGCCTGCTCTTACCATGGTTACTGCCATCACCTCCCTCCTCCCCACCCCCAATAGTCAATTTCAAGAGTGGGAACATTTTATAAACCAATTATGTCTTTCCTCTTCCTTCCAATGGATCTCCACTTCCGCCTGGAGGTGCCCGGGGCTTGAGTCCCCACTTACCTCTCTGACTCCACTCCTGCTCCACCCTCAGCCCTCTGCTCCAGCCACACTGGCCTCTGGTTTTCCTCCAACCTAAGAGGCCTTTGCCTGCCCGAGTGCCTTTGCACTTGCTGTTCCTTCTTCCCCCCAAAACCTGTTCGATTCCCTCAGGTCTGTGCTCAAATGTCCCTGTTCATCCTTATAAAACAGCATCCTCCCGACACTCCTCTTTCCCGGTTCCATCTTTCTCCGCAGCACGAACACAATCTGGCAAGCCAGGGCTCGGTACTTCTTCCCTGGTCCCCATGTCCATCTTGCCCTGAACCATGAGTTTCATGAGGGAGGGACTGAGTTTGCTCAGGGCTGTATCTGCAGTGACCTGAGAGTGTCTGGAGCATACTGACGCCGGAGGCCGGAACCCCGCTGCTTCTGGGATAGTCCAGGGAGTCACGGGAACCCCAGGAGGCAGCTGGGCCCTGAGGCTCTCCTGAAAAATGCACGCTTTGGAGTTGTTGCGTGCTGACCATCTACGGAAGTCCTGATCCTCACATTCAGTTGTCCAGCACCTGCTCCTCCTGCTCCCAGGGCCACAGCCTGCAGCCTGAGACGGGGAGCCAAGCAGTGCAGGCAGCAGACACTTCTGCCAGCAGCGCCTGAGGACCTGTGCCCAGCACTCGTCCCAGACCCTCTCCCCGACACCAGTGCTCAGCCCTTGCACCCCATTCCTAGGGAGTCAGTTGACAGGTTCATCAAGCACTTGTGCATTAAGAAGGACAAGGAAGGGATGGCCTGGTCCTCTGACCTGCCATTCAGGACTAAAGCTCAAGGAACCAGCAGGCACCTGCCACCGGAAATGGCAGGTGCAGTCCAGGCTGTCACCACAGTGCGAGCCAAGGAGGGGTTGGGAAGCGCAGGTGGCTCATGCGGGTCAAGGGCAGGACTCTGGAGCCAGGGCCTTGCTGCTGAGTGACCCTGAGCAGTGCCCTAACTGCACCTGCCTTCTTTCCCCATCTGTGCAAGATGGGTGATAACAGTCCTTCACCTGGGGCGGCTGTGAGAAAGAGTAAGCTTGAGGTGGCCCTGGGACACGATCCAGTTGGGGGTGATGGGTGAAAAGGAAGACGTGTCGGTGCACAGAGCCCTGTGTGGAGGCGCTGAGCTGGCCCGCGAGGCGGCTGGGAGGAATGGGCCGCCCTGGCAGGCTGCGCAGAGGAGATGTTGGGAGGGGGGCGTGTGGGCTGAGCATGGGCAGCTGTGGGCTGCAATGGCCCTTTGAAGGTGTGTTTCATGAGGCTCCGTCTGACAAGCCAGACTGGAAAGGGGAGTGCCTGCAGCCGACACCAGGGAGGAGGCCATGGCAGCGGGGCTGGCGCAGAGATGGGGAAACACACGGAGGCCGTGGGCAGGCCCGAGCTGGTCCTGCCTCCGCCAGCCACCAGGCGTCTGGCACGGCCTTGCACAGCTGTACTGCCCGCTGCAGACTCCTGTTGCAGCACAAGCACGGACCAGCCTCCAGGGTTGGCTCAGGACACCGCTAGGAGCTTGTTCACTGTCTCTGCCCCCTGCTCACACTCTCTCCAGAGGGCGGCTCCCCTGCAGAGTCCCCAGGCCTCCCACCACACTCCCCTCACGCACAGGCTCTTGTCAATAAAATGCAAGCAAAACAGCACTGGCCGATGTGGATCAGTGGTTAGAGTGTCGGCTGGACTGAAGAGCCGTGGGTTCAGTTCTGGTAAAGGGCACGTACCTTATTTGCAGGCATGATCCTCAGCCCTGGTCAGGGCGTGTGTGGGAGGCAACCAATCTACATGTTTCTCTCACATCAATATTTCTCTTTTTCTGTCTCTCCCTCTCCCTTCTCTCCCTCCCACTCTCTCTAAATACCAATGGGAAAATATCCATTAACAACAACAGAAAGCAAAACAAAATCCCAAACCTTGAACTGATGCTGACACTGGAGTCACCTCTGACTTCCCAGTCATTGCCAAATGCTACGGGCGACTACCCCTACCGGCCCCCACCGTCCGCAGCCAGTCCTGCCCTCCTTGACCTTGGTGCTGGCCTCGCTGCACTCTGGGGACACTGCTCTGCTCTCCGTGGGGCTCGGTGACCGCTCTGGAGCCCTCTGGGATCACTCAGCCTCACCCCCACCATCCCTGCTGCATCTCTGCCCGCCCTGCCCCTACCACTTGGCATCCCCCGTAACACTGTCTGGTCCCTCTGTTCTTCACAGAGATGTCCTGTCATCAGCTGTCACTTCTGTGAAGTGACCCCTGTTCAGGCGACTCCCTCACCCAACCTCCCAAGGTCTCTGTCTGGAGAATGTTCCCCTGCACACATACCAGTAACTCACTGCCACAAGTGTACACCCACAGTGTGCACCTGCAGTATACACCCGCAGATACACCCGCAGTATGCACCCAGAATACACCTGCAGCACACACCCGCAGTATACACCCGCAGTATGCACCCAGTATACACCCGCAGCACACACCCGCAGTATACACCTGCAATATACACCCAGTGTGCACCCACAGTATACACCCGCAGTATACACCCAGTGTGCACCCGCAGTATACACACGTAGTACGCACCCGGAGTATACACCCAGTATACACTCACAGTACACCCGCAGTGTGCACACGCAGTATATACCTGCAGTATACACCTGCAATGTGCACCGCAGTGTATATCGCACTCCTTTGTGGCCAGCACTGTGCTAGGCGCCAAAGGGCAGCAGGAAGCAGGAGCCATTTGGTCTCTGCACTCAAGGAGCTGCTGGTGTGTGTGTGTGTGTGTGTGTGTGCAGACCACGAACAAACAAGAAAATATCAGGAGGTGAACCCCAGGAGTAACTGAAAGACAGGGTGACGGAGCCTGGGTACTTGGGTTGGGTGGTCAGGAAAGACCTCTTCAGCCGGAATCGGAATGACAAGAAGCTCCAGCTGCGCTGAGCCCTAGGGTAGGAGTTTCTAAGGCAAAGGGGACAGCGGAGGCAGAAGCCAGCGGGGCCTGCTCTGACAAGCCAGCCCTGGTCACCGTGCTGAGCTCTGTCCCTGCCTCGGCAGGCTCAGCATACCGTCTGCCCGCCCCGAATGTGCTGGAACATTCTCTCAGCACTCTGGGTAAGGGGCTGCACCTCCAGTGGCCAGGCCTGTCCTGCCTGTCTCCGGGGCTGAGCTGGAGGATTGGGCTGTACCCAGCACTTCTGGGTTTGCGTGTGGGGGGGTGGGGGAGACTCTTGGGAGGGTGAGCACATTCTCAACCTCCCTGCCATACAGCCTGGCTGGCTGGGACCCAGGCTGCCCGGGGCCCTGAGGGATGTTCTCTGAGCTGCGAGGAGGTTGTAGTCAGAGCTTTTTGGAGAGCAGAGGACCGGGAAAGAAAACAGACTGCCTTCCACTGCCCTCAGGATGCCTGGCGCTGGCACAGAGGTCACTGAAAGGGAGCAGTTTCAGTTGAGTAGCATTTGTTTTCCACGTATAAAAAGTGATGTAACAGCCCTGGCTGGTGTGTGCAGGAGGCAGCTGATTGGTCTCTCCCTCTCCGTTCCTCTCTCTCTAAAACAGTGGTTCTGGGATTTTAAAAAGATTCCCAGGTGATTCTAACGTGCAGCCAAGGTTGAGAACCACTGCTCTAAAAAATCAAACACATATATGCACTTTCTTTTTAAAAAAATGGTATCACCAGGGGCTGCAGGAGGAGGGGATGGAGGAGTTAGTGTTTTACAGGTGGTTTCTGTTCGGGAAGATGAAGTTCTGGAGATGGCTGTGGGGACAGCCTCACAACACCGCGAACATACTAAGGCCACTGAACTGGACACTTTAAAATGGCTAAAAATAGTAAAGTTTATGTTATTTAAACTTTACTACAATTTTAACAAAAGGTAATACACACTCCCTGCTCCCCACTCTATCCTCAGAGCCTAGCACACAGCAGGCACATACAAGTAACTGTCCAACGCAGGGATGTGAGTAAAAATTCAAACCGCCTGGCTCTCCCGGCCGGAAGCACCTAACCTTTGGGAAAAGCATGGGGACGAGCAGGCCAAGGGGAGAGCTGTTCACTCGCCCACCGGCTTCCCAGGCCCCAGCAGACACACCTGGCAGAGGCGCAGACTCACCTGGGCCTCCTCTTTCCAGAGCAGGGCTGCCTCCTGCTGGCCCAGCATCCGGGCAATGACCACGAGGCTGAGCTGGCGTCGAAGCTGCCTGTGAGAGAGGAGGGAGGGGACCAGAGTGCGCAGTCAGAGAGGAGGGGTTGATATTCCGGAGAGCCGCTCTGTCTGGAGTATGTGGGCTTTCTCATTTATTTATTTTAGAAGTAATCAGCCACGCATGATGGGAAAGTTAAAAAATAAGCAAACAGAAAATTTATAGCAACTGGTAATTTCAGGGTCTAGCACAGTGTTTTTCTTCTGTTTGTTTTCTCGCTCTGTGCTTACACTTATCTGTGGACACAGAGATAGGGCATGACCAAGCCCTTTGCACAGGCCCTGCCTGTTCCTACCTTTCAGCCCGTGCTGGGTCAGGGAAGGTGGGCCGCCTGACTTTCCCTGGGAGAACCCCTTCCCCAGCCAGCCGAAACCTGGCTCCTAGGGTGGGCGCGTGGGCCGGGCCTGGCCCCGTACAGTCCCTGTGAGCGAGCCACTGGGCGGTGCGGGGGTCTTGGCTGGACCTGACCGCTGAGTGCGTGCCTTTCCAGCAGGGCCACTTATTTGGCAGAAGTGATCCCCCAGCGGCTGGTGGCCATCTGCCTCCCTGTGGGCGCGCCTGAAGGATGAAGCAGACCGGATGGAGAGCGAGCCCTGGCAGCAGCCAGAGCAGCTGTGCCTGAAGCCTCCAGCCCTAGGACCGTGCGCTCGCTAGCAGTTGGCTGGTTGTGTGAGCCAACGAAGTCCCATTTGCTCGAGTCATTTTGAGCTGGCTTCTGAGTCTAGCACCACACGGCTGTGATTCACTCATGATGGGCCGCCATCTCCTCTCTTTAGGAGTGAAGACCTCTGATGCGAATTTGAGATGCTAATCGTTGGGCTCTGATTTCGAGTCCTTGAGGGCTGGAGTGAGCCAAAGAGAAGACAGGAGGGGAGTGGAGACCGGAGGGGGGAGAGGTGATGGGAAGGGGTCCAGGGCCCCTGCTCCACTCCTGCCACAGCCTCCACCAGGAGATTACGTCTTCCATGCACCCCCACACCTGTTGCCCCACCTCGGAGCAGATGGCAGCCCCTTGCACGCACTTTGATGTGGCCGCAGCCCCTACTTCCTGCGGAAAGCCGCCACCAGGGAAGGCGAGGAGAGTCCTGAGCTGGAGGAGAGTTGGGCTGGAACTGCTCCTCAGAGGAGAACCGCCCTCCAGTGACTGCACTGTGGGGGGACCACAGCGTGGACTCAGCAACTAAAGGAGGGAGGGGACGTGGGAGCAGCAGGCTGAGGGCAGCACTCAGAAATGACGCTGCCCTAGGGAAGGACTTGGGGAGCAGGACTGAGCCTCCTGCACCTTCCACCCCATGCCCAAGGCTGCCCAGGCCCGCATGATGCTGGGGACTGCGGGGCTGGGCAGGCTGGCATCTGAACCAGGGCCTCATTTATTTTCTTCACTAGCACTTAGTCAAGAAAGTCAGAGGAATCAACAAAGCGAGGCTCTTGATTAAACAAAGAAAAAAGGCAGCAGCCGGCGGTACCACTCCCACCAGGATGAGCATGAGGAGGGAAGGCCCAGCGCCAGGAGGGTGTGGGCGGAGGGGCTTGCACACAGCTGGTGGGAGCGCACCCTGGGGCCCCCACTCAGTAAACTGGAAGATCTACGGAAGCCGCCCACATGCCCACCTCGTGGCCCCGCAGTGCTCGTCCCGGGCACCACGCACGGAAATGAGGAAGGCGGAAGTGCGGCCGCATGGGGTGGGTGAAAGATCCTACAACCAACCCTGCACGGATGACCGTAGACCGCCTGCCAGCTCACCCAGCAGCATTCATGCCCCCCTCAGTGCCGTGTGCAGAGGCCAGACACAAAGGAATAGCCCTGGCGGGCAGCTTGGGCAGAGCCGCGTGCAGATGTGCCAAGGTTGCCGTTCGATCCCGGTCAGGGCACGTATAAGAATCAAACAACGAACACATGAATAAGAGGAACAACAAATCAATGTTTCTCTTTCTCCCTTCCTCTCTCTAGACATAGATCAATAAAAAATTAAAAATAATATATTTGTGATTTCACTTGTAGAAAGAACAAAAACGGGCAAGTACCAGGTGTTGGAGTGGGGATACTGGTGACACATGGTGGGGCAGGTTCTACTCACGTTTCATTTCTTTTCTTTTTAAAATATTTTTATTGATTTCAGAGAGGAAGGGAGAGGGAGAAAGAGATAAAAACATCAATGATGAGAGAGAATCCTTGACTGGCTGCCTCCTGCACGCCCCACACTGAGGATCGAGCTCACAACCCAGGCATGTGCCCTGACTGGGAATCAAATTGTGACCTCCGGGTTCATAGGGTCAATGCTCAACCACTGAGCCACACCGGCCAGGCATGGCTCATTTCGTGATCTGGGTGCTGCTTCCACAGGCTCAACTTGTGGAAATCCGCTGAGCCATACACTGACGGTCTGTGTTCTGTTCTGTTCATATGTTACAGTACAATCAAATAATTACTTAAAGAAGGAATCCAGCTGGGGGAGGAGATAGGATTGCCAGATTTGGCCAATAAAAATATAGGATGCCCAGTTATTTTTTAATTTCTTATAGATAAACAAAGAATGTTTCAGCATACGTTTCTACCATGCCATATTTGCATGGTATCTGGCAACCCTGGGAAGGTCTGGCCACTCCCATCCATTCTTGACAGGGAAGATGTGACATTAACCAGCAAGAGGTCGCCTGACCCTGTCTCCTGTCAGCCTTGACCTTCTCCGCAGAGGGTTGTGGGTTCCCACCTCACCTCCTGAGTCCTGAGTGGACTGCACCAGCACAGAACACAGGAGCCCTCATCCTGGGTCCCCTGCACTTCTGAGTACCCCTCATCCTGAGTTCCTACGCCGCCGAGTCCCCCCTCAGCCCCACCCTTCAGCCCTCCCTGGGCTCTGGCCCATCACACACCCTGCGTGGCTTCCCTTCACAGTGAGCCAGGACCTGCTCTGCAGCTGCTCAGAGCCCCAGCAGCTGGCGGGGAACACAGTGGGAGGTAAATGGCCCCTCTGAGCTGCTGCGCAGAGCGAACGTGCAGCCAGAGTCAGAAGTCCTGCATCTGGGCATCAGTAATCCAAGCCAGGACTGCGAGGCTCCTTGGCACAGCGGGCAGGCGGGGAGGGCCCCTGGGTGGGAGTGTGGGCGGGCAGTGAAGCAGCTGGGGTGGGTCCAGAAGGAAAGAGGCGGTGGGTGGGTCAGGACAGGGCAGCTGTCCAGAAATGAAGAAAGGCCCAGAAAAAGCACTGAGGGGGTGAATGGATACAAAAACCCACATCTGAGAGCGATGCTCCGCCTCGCCGCCTGCCTTCTACCCTAACGGCTCTCCCAGCCTTTTAAACACAGTCCCCTGCGCTCTCAGCTCCCACAGGGAGAGGGGACAGGACCCCTTTCTAGTTTTAGACAGAGAAGTCACTCTGCAGAGGAGGAAAAGCAAGGATGCATCCTAAACACCCCCCACCCCCACCCCGCTGCAGGGGGCAGGCAGAGGGCGGGCAGCAGAGGATGGCCTGGGCTCCTCCCCCCTGGAACTCGCACCAGGCGGACAAAGGAGGATGCAAAAGCCACTGGAGCGGCCCAGCCACTGTCATATAAGGCAAGGCTCCAGCCCAGGCTCAGCAGGCCCGCCTCGCCCTGCCCCCGCCACTCCCGGGGCCTCCCGAAGACCAGGACACTGGAGTAGCGCTCAGAGGAGCCCCAAGTGCTGGGGAATTTGGAAATGATTTTTCCAAACACTCAGCAGAGCTGGACGTGGGATGTACCCCTCAGCTCCTTCAGGGACAGCTCAACCGGCACCCTGCAGAGAAGGCAGGATGGCCACCAGGCAGTGCAGGTCCCTGGGTGCCGTCTTCCCTCCTCCAGGAGCCAGGCCCTGCGAGGCTGAACTGCCCTAAAAGGCCATCAGGCATCTGGCCAAAGGCGTGAGCCGCCTTTTCCATGTCTCTAGGGCGGCTCAGGAAGCAGCAGCAGCAGCACGGTGGCCTGTTCCGAGTGGAAATGCCGCCCAACACACTGCCTCAGGGTCCAACACCCTGCCTCAGGGTGCCTGCCCGGCTCACCTCTCACCCACCTGCCCCAGGCCCTTCATGTGGTCTCCCTCCTGCGCACAAGCAGGCACTGCCCAGGCAGAAAGAGCCAGGGCCTAGGCCAGTGATGGTGAACCTATGACACATGTGTCAGAGGTGACACGTGAACTCATTTTTTTGGTTGATTTTTGTTAAATGGCATTTAAATATATAAAATAAATATCAAAAATATAAGTCTTTGTTTTACTATGGTTGCAAATATCAAAAAATTTCTATATGTGACACGGCACCAGGGTTAAGTTAGGGTTTTTCAAAATGCCGACATGCCGAGCTCAGAAGGTTTGCCATCACTGGCCTAGGCTCAGAGCTGAGGACCACCTCCTCCGTGGTCTGCGGGCATCCACATGCAGGCTGCGGCACCCCTGACTGTGGGCACACAGCGGGGACAGGAAAAGGCGGCGGGCGGGGTACAGACAGCCACAGGCCCGTTCATGAAACGCCGTGTGGCATCTCCAAGGATCCACCCTCTTCAACCGAAATGAAACCCACGGAGCGCTGCCGCTCTGCACTGTGCCCGAGAGCGGGCTCTGCAGGTGCCTGTTCTGTGCACGTTTCCAGCCTCGCAGACCACCTGCGGGCGGGAGCGGAGCTGAGGGTCTCTCTGCAGGGGGAGCCGGTGAAAGATCCTGGGGAGCAGGCGCAGTCTCTCCCGGGATGTGCTGGTGCCACACAGGTGGCCCCATAAGGAGCACTGGGGGCCCCCTCTGCGGGGGTCCTTCCTGATGCGCATTATAACTAAGTGGAAAGGTTACTGCTCTTTAGCAAAATAAATAAAGCTCATATAGATAATCGCAAGACAACGTCCTCCCTTCCTTCCTCTTTGTTTTGGTATAACCTTAGGCTTAGAAAACACCTAAACATCACCCTCTACCATCTGCCTGGCCATCCATTCCAGCAGCCCTCACAGGCTGGAGCGAGGTGCAGCCCTTCCACCAGCTTCTCCCCTCGCCA